TCGTCTTGTCCCCTGATGACACCATTACTGCCGGATCGGCAAAAACGTGTTAAGGACCTTCAGCCAAGGGCTTCCAAATTCGCCACGATTACTTTTAGGTAAAGGCTCTAGTTTATTACGCCAAGTTGGTGTCCGATCTCCTCCTCCGTTTTCTACTGTCCACGCATCCCCTTCCTCCTCTCCCTTGTTTTTTTTCCACTTTCTCTTCGTACTCCGTTTCTACCCTTCTCTTTCTTTCCTCCCTTTTTTCTTCTCTTTCCCCTCCCCCTTCCTCCCTTTCCGTCTCTGTGTCGATCTTCCCCCCGCCTCTCATTGTTAGAGCTGCGTGAAATGCAATCAACCTGTGAAATGCTAGTGGTGTTTAACACCGCTCGACTGAAAACTTTATCGTGCTCACAGTTTCTTGTGCTACTTCCACATTGATGACTACTCCCGCTTGATAAGCGTAGCTGTTTGTCAAAAACGAAACGATAGTGGAAAGATGCCCCTTTGCCACCTCAGATTTCGACTAATCCCAGTCTACATTGGTTATGCTGGCCACAATGATCTGGGAACCAAAATTACTGCACCTCTGGACACCATGCTGAAAAATCTCATCAGCCTGTTATGCAAGAGGAAGTAGGCTACACAGCATGAGCTCTTTGTACCTTGCCATCTTTCACCAACCAGGCTGGTCCACATTCCTTCAGGTCACAAGCCAAGGCAACACTACTTGTTGAGGCAGTCTATTTGTAGCTATCAGTTCACAATGTCATCTGTCGTAATCTTCCAGCAGCCACCTCGTTAACCCCTCTCGCACTGTGCGTACGGTTTGTAGTATCTCCTCGTAAACCACCGCTAAACTTCCCAGTCACTCTGCAAAGAACGTGCCATGCATGCTGGCGCGTTGGGCGGGATGCGCCGGGGTGCTGGCAGATCATTTTGCCTGGACAACACCCTGGGGCATCCCACCTGGCCCGCCAGCATGCACATATTTCTGCAAAATGGCTGGGTGGTTTAAACCACCGGTACCTTTCCCGCCTTGGTTTTCGAGGTGGCGCCGGGTAACACGGTGGCCAACTGGGATTGGGCCGCCGTTGATAAATCCAATCGGCATCCGGTTTCTCTTTCTGGGCCTCCGAAATTGCCCGCGGCCGATATATGGGAAAGGAACCGGTGGTTTAAACCACCACCTCCGCTGACGAAATCCATAAGTTGCACTGGCTACCATGCAGGCCGTGGAGTAGAGTCTCACACCGGCCGCGGGGAGGGTCAGCCTCGGTGCACAAATTTTTGAGTGCGATAACGAAACTAATAAGTGCCTTCGGATTCGACTTGTTATACAGAGCATGGTGGATTATTGCATATTTACACATGCTAAAAGATATACTTCGACGTGTTACAGCAGGGTGCAGAAAATTTTGAGTGCAAAAGCGAAATATTACAATTCACCTTGTTCTAGTGGAATGGCGGATTATAATACGTATTTACACGTGCAACAAAATTTAAATGGCTGTCTTACAGCAGACTACGTCGTGCAATAAAAATTAACTGGCTGTGTTATGGCAGACTACGTCGTGAAAGATCATTCCAGTACAGCCAATCAAAATTGAGATATTTTCATTCCATTTAGCAATTTGCCTAACCTCGCGTACTTTTTAAATCGATGATTTTGGCGTCTCCCATTTCACTTAAGCTTCTAAGGAATTTCTTTTGCCTATGTTTCAGTGCATGGTCTGCGTTCAAAGGCTGAACGCCACTCACAGGTTCAATCCGGGTTTAAAATCCCTTAGTGTTCGAATTTGCTTTCCAGACCCCCCTGTGGAGTGCTGCAGTGTGAAAAAGCACCATGGCCTGGATGACAAGAAGGCCCATATGTAGGCCAAGGGCGCTTTGGAGGCTGTCCACAACTCGCCTCCGTGAAATGTAAGTTTGTGTGTGAGTGTGTGTTGTCATATTCAGTATACACTGAAAAAAAAGCATGCCTATGACAAACTGTTTTGTCAGACTTTCACCGACTATCAACAGGTTGAAGTGTGTGTGTGTGTGTGTGTGTGTGTGTGTGTGTGTGTGTGTGTGTGAGAGAGAGAGAGAGATAGAGAGAGATAGATAGAGAGAGAGCAGAAGGGGCAAAGAGTAAAGAAAGAGGCCAGAAGGGGCAAAGAGTGAAGTACCTCGTCCATAACTCACGACCCCACATGCACATATTGAAATAACATAACGTTGTCTCAACAACACCCACTCACATAAAAAGACAGACGCTCCTAGTCTTGCGTTGCACACTCAACATCATCCACTCACAAGTACTCATGTAAGAAACTTGAGCGATGTGAGTATGACCACGATCGCTCGCAACCCACACACACGTTGAACCACCAACTCCACATGATGAAACAACATAAGAGAGGACCAAACAATAGAAAGCATAGGTTCTCCTCCTGCTCTTACGCTGCAACCTCGACATCATCTCAAAAACAAGCACTCTTATGCTCCAACCTCGACATAATCTCACACAAAGTCAGTCTGGATTCGAACTTGGCTCCCTGTTTCAACAGTTCATGGGCATTCCAACTAAGCTAGGCAAGTTTGTCCCCCATCATGCTTTCTTTTTTTTTTCTGTTGTAATGACCAGCACTTTTTCATGACCCGTGGACCAATTCCTCGAGTAAGTGCTTCGAATTCTTCTAGGCAAGTCTTTGGGGTTACTATATAGAATTCCAACCTGACGTTTGCCTGGGAGTGCCTTTTCCACTCACTGATTTTTCCCAATCTTCTACAGGTTGGTCAGTGATTCCAAGCGGAATTTTAATTTGGACCGTATCTCGATTTACGTGTCATCCTTGCACAGGGTCCATGTTAATCTTCTCTGCATCATACTGTTGTCTCAACTTTTTTTTTTTTTTTTCAATAAAGAGCTTGATTTTAATTATATATACGACTGTTGTTTCAACTTTAATAATGGATGTCCATAAGAATTCCAATCATGTCAATCCTCTGGATGTCAGAGTAATCAATGCTGGCAGGCAGTTTCTGATTCTTCTTCTTGGCACAAAAAAAAAAAAAAAAAAAATAAAAAAAATCAATCATGCTTGCTAACTAGTCAGGATCTGGAAAACTCTCTTTAACAACCCCACAATGCAGTCAAATTGCTGCCTTTTTCCTTGTTTCACCTTCGACTAAAGCGCCGTGGAAGAACTAGTCAGGGTATGAAGTCAGTCACGCATCCGCATCCTAAAAGAAAAGAGTACGGTGTAATTATATAATAATATTTATTTATAGTATAATATTTATTTAATAGTACATAATGTACTAGGTTACTACTAACTGCATTTCACTGATTTCAGACAATTTTCCGTAGCATTTGGCACTCGAATATAAAAAAAAAGACAATACAAGTTATACAACTTGAAAAAAAAAATGGCACTTCTATTTTTTTGTGGTGTTTCCATAAACACCTCTGCTTCTGTTGTGAATCTTCTCAAAAGGTTTGCTGCTCCTCTGCGTTCTTCCTCTGTAAGCCGCAACGTCATCCGTTTGGAAGGACGAAAAACCGTAAAACGTTGTCCACTTGGAAAAGCCGAAAAATCGTTGGATGCTTGGTTGCAGAGTCGTAGTTCTTCTATTGCATGCTATAATTGTTATTTCATTCCCCCTATGAGTTCCCCCCCCCCAAAGCCTGCTGGATGCACGTACGCAAGCAGCCTGGTGAAGTTGTGCTCCATTTAAATCACCCCTGGTTCCAAATCAAAATTAGCCGCGCCCGATTTTCCACGGACCTGCGATGTCCAAATCCAGCGTCGAGTTGGACCTCTACCAGAGACGTCTTCCCTCTACAACGCCCTAAACAGGCACCTTTTCCACCCTCAGCTCGGGTACGTCAACCACATTGAAAACAGCCAGCTTATTCGGCTCAGCAGACAAAACTGACTCGTTGCTCCCTTGTGCATTGGCATGATCAGTGGCATGGCCGCAGGGTAGTGGTGGTTTAGAAGAAAAGGAAAGGCGTGAAATGCACAAGAGCATATTTCAAACAAACATGAGCTCCTCCCGGTCCTCCGTGCTGGCGGAGGCAACAAAAACAGTCGAAAAAATTCTTCTTGCTAAAGTTCCTTCTCCCACCCTTTTTATCTTTGTTCTTTTCAGAGGGCAACGGCCGTGATATATAATCCCATATCATTGAGCTGACCAACCCCAGGTGATTCACTTACTTGTTTTCACTCCTCTGGTTGCCCTCCGCATCCGGATTTGTAACTCCAGTCTATATTTCGATAGTTCATGGGTGTACCGACCGAGCTAGGGGTGTCGTTTGTTCTCCCACCTTATTAAAACTGCAGGATTGCTGTCTGGTCAGGTCCACCCGCCAAGATGTGATGGGTGATGGTGGTCCTGGGTGGTTAACACTAGTAGGGTAAGACAGGGGAGGGGGCGGGGGGGGTGCGGCAGGGCAAAAAGATGAGAGGAAGGGTGGGTGGGGTCTTCAGAGGGGTTCATCTGGACAACCGCATGGCCGATTACAGTGTGTGACTGTCATCTGCCCAGTATCCATCCCACCTCTACAACAACCTGGGTCAAAAAAAAAAAAAAAAAAAAAAAAAAAAAAAGAAAAGAGGGAAAAAAACTGCAGGATTGAATTTCTCCTAAGCTGTGGAAGCATTACATGAACTCTATATATACTACCAGACATGTTTCAGAAAATTCAGATGGCCACTCAGACTCAACTGCAATTGCCTGCAAAAAAAAAAAAACACCGAAAAAAAAAGAAGGAAGAGGGAAAAAAACTGGAGGATTGAATTTCTCCCAAGCTGTGGAAGCATTATAAGAACTATATATATACTACCAGACAAGTTTTAGAAAATTCAGATAGCCACTCAGACTCAACTGCAATTGCTTGCAAAAAAAAAAACACACCGAAGCTCTGCAGCATCATAGGTTATCCAACAAAAGAAGATTAGGCAATTTCAAGAGTCGTGACCACAAAGAAAGAAAACATACATAGACGGCTGACGTATTCATGGAAGCAATTAATGATTACAAATTATCGTACAAGTTACAACACTCCTTATTTGATGAATACCAAGCTCCTAAGGACCTTTCCTTGACCGGTGTAACACGAGATAAGACCCCTTCCTTGCGCCACGACACAGTCTGTAGAAGACAATCGAAATGAGAGAAAGTGTCGTGGAAAGAATAGGGAGAGAAACAGGAGAACAGACCAGGCAACAACCTGATTGCTAAATGCCCTGCTCAGTGATCTGGTCCTCCTCGTAAAGCCAAGCCACTTTTTGCATCGCCAGTCTCCGCGTCAAACTGCAATGGGAGGTCCCCGATTTGTGCCCGCGGCGCTGCTGTCCTCGGTGCCACTTTGCTACTAGCCGGAGTAGGCGGACTACAAAACCTCTGTGACAAAAAAATTATACATTGCCTGCAGGATGGTGATGAGAGACCTGAGTTCGTTGAACCATGTCAAAGACGATTCAGAAAAGCAAAACCCGCTGCCGCCAGATGCAAAGACCGAGCCAACAATTGTGTTGTTGCTTTGGATAGCAAGAAAATATTCCTGCCGTAAATAAGAGAGTTTCCGGCCACACGATCACACACCAAGAAACCTATACCCGATGTCATCCCAGCCAAACACAGTCATGACAACCAAGCCAGAAGACATGTCTGAAGGAATTTTTTACTCGAGAGAGAACTGGAATTGGAGGAGCTCTGTAATTACACCACCGGTGGTATGGTATATACACCCTTCTGCCTTGCGCCCAGCAGCTTGACAATCCCTCGTCACCTGCATCACAACAAACAAGCCACTGCACACAGACAAAACTCAACCTGTGAGGAATTTCAAAGGCGGGCAGAAACGGCCCACTCTTTACATCAGCCCGTTCCTGAGCAGAATCGTCAGTATGCCCCTTGGCGCCCTTACGAGAACACACGACAGTCGACAACACCCCTCCTAATAAACAAACAGCTTGCCAGCATGTCTTAACCCGCTAGTACACGGCGCCAGCCTTGCTGAAAAGAAACTCGTCGCCTACGAGTTTCTTCCGAAAGAGACGGCGCAGGCGCGCCGTCGATAAAAACAAACAAACGGTGGCCTGCATCACTTTTCGGGTTCTGACGGGCGTCCGCGGCCAATAGCTGGATGTAACTGTGCTTCAGCAATGATCCCCACCGGCCATTCCAATCCCGACGCCCCGTTTATACACTGAATCAAGACCCAGAAGAAGTCACCGTCCATGTGTAGTCCTTATGCAAAATCGGAGTAAATGGGGCTACGGCCAAAGACTATATTCCAAATAGGTACGCCCATACAGGAGCTCGAATTCGACCCAGCCGAATGGGGATGGCAACTGAAGAAGGGCAAAGGGGAAAACACCACCTTACCAATATCAGAATACACAGTCAAATAAGTCCTTCGGGACATCTGTTAAAATTGGAATGATACAGAGAAGATTAGCATGGCCCCTGCGCAAGGATGACACGCATAAATCGAGAAATGGTTCAAATTAAAAAAAAAGAAAAAAAAAAGAAAAAAAAAAAGAAAAAAAGAATACACAGTCAAATAAGGCTATGAGATGTTACTCAAGACACAACACCCCGAACCGACAATTACATGCAGGTGGACAAGGCTGCTAGAAGATGAGACCAACCAAATTTCCAAAATACCATGGAAGAAAAAGACAAAACAGTACACCCCGTCAAAGTTAGAAGTCTCCAATAGCGCATCACATATGTAGCCCTGCCGGTAAATCACTGGCTAGTAGTGGCTACATATCAGGAGGGGGAGTAAGGACCCTAACAGCTTGGACATATTTGTAGTCCGCTCAGAACAAGAGCAAGAAGACTTAAAAGTTAATACACTGTCTAATTAGGTGTACCAGGGTGCACCTCCGATATGTACTTGTATCTGAAGGTGTGCGCCCAGACCCTCAACACCTCCCACAGCTTGCCGCCTCCCACTGGTACCGCTGCGTGGCACCGATTTCCCCTGGGCCCGCCGGGAAGCATCACGTCCGGCCCTTTGCAGTTTTTAGTGCTATATATATATAGTCAAACAGAGCTGCCCGGTAAACCGTAGGCAGAGAGGGAGAAGAGGACAACAAACGAGGGGCTGTGGCAAACTGTTTCGTCGGAGTTTCATATATATATATACATATATATCGTCACAAACAGAACTGCCCGGTAAACCGTAGGCAGAGAGAGAGAAAAGGACAACAAACGAGGGGCTGTGACAAACTGTTTCGTCCCACGAAGACGCTGGGGGAATGATAGATGGCACCTCTACGAAGTCACTCGAGGCTTCCAGGCCGAAGGAAAACGCTCTTGTCAGCCTCCAGGCACAAAGTGCAGCAATTTGGACATCTCCGCCGGATTGCTGGACACAAAGTGTTGAGGTAAAATGCGTACTATTCTAGAAACAGTGTGTGAACCACGCTTCCTGAAATGTTCCAACTCTGGCGAGCCTGGCTATTCGCAACATACTTGTATGAAACAGATAGGCCGAGATTTTCGAGGGTCTGTGCATGTTTTCTTTCATCTGTTTTGCATTTTTGTTTCGGTTTTCCACTCAAGCTCCAGTCTCCCACTTCGTGGCTGCAAGTCCATTAGTATGTGTTCGTTGGGCCTTATGGCGACACGATAACAACCATAAGACAGAGAGAATTCAATTTGATTGAATTGATGATTCACTATATATAGAGCGAGATTACGAGGCTCATTCTCGAACCTCCGGATGCTACGGTTGAGCCCAGGGCTCAGGTGGTTGCGCCCTTGGAACACGCAGTGGGTGGCCGACACATCACACAGTGGCCATGGACCAGTGAGAATGCAGCATTGTCGTCACACATCCACCACGAGCCAATGAGAATGAGGCAAACACTTGGAGCCTGGAGGGCTACCTCGATGAGCCTAACTGCACAAGGCAGAGGCCAGTATCTGAAACTGGGCCTGGGCGCAGACACTTTGGGCCAACTGGAAGCTACTGGGCCCCTACAAGCCAGGCCCAGGGACAGCCCCGGCAGGGCACACATTCTATATAGGAGGCATTCTGGCCTGAGCAGGCATTGCGGCGACGCTGCTGCTTTGCTGTGCGATATTGCGCTAAGCAGGCAGGCTGGGGCACACGAGGGCGCTAAGCGGCCACACTCCTGCTTTGCTGTGCGATACTGTGCTTAGCAGGCAGGCTGGGGCACAGAGGTGACCGGGCGGCTGGTCGGCACCTACCGATCAGCTGGTCGTCGGCACATCCAAGCAGAGTTCTCATATCAGGACAGCCTACTGGTACCTCCCATGCCCCTTCTCTCTAAGAATCCTGCCGCAAAAGCGCCAGCCATGCAGATTTCTTCTGATGCATGAAGATATACTGGAACTGGGGCTTCCGGAAACAAAATTCCATCCAAGATATGCATACTGCACAGTACAATTTTCACACGCGACACCCAGGTAGGCCAGGGCCCACTTGGACTGACCCATGATCTCGCAGAAACAATAATGAGCTGATCCTCACCATCCCATTGCAGTTGCACACACAGGACCTTGTGGTAATCGTATTGTATTGTTTGCCGGGACTACAAGGTGACAAATCAGTCATAGCAGTCCCGACTGTTTCTGATCTGGAAGGGACTTCAATAGTGCACATTGCTCCCTCCATCTATCATCCGTGCTGGCGGGAGCCAGTCCCTTTTAGCCCATCGGTCCCTAAGCTCCGTGGCTATGTCCACCTTCGGCAATAACGAGCAATACATAACCTTAGTGGTGAGCTGTTGCAAGGGGACCAAAATCACCTTGATTGATGCACACTGAAAGCTATATATCCTCTGCCCACTGGAATCACACAAAATGAACGACATTTACTGACACCCCCCTACAACATGTGTCAGCCTGATTGAAGTGCTGGCTTAGGAAGTTTTTCATGCCTGGCCGGGCCTGCACAGCCGGGCACCCGGGCGTGCCAATTTTTTTATTTTCTTTTTCTTTTTTTCTTTTATACCTTTCTGCGCTTTCTCAGAGGACCCCAAATCGGGGCTCATTTCATTTTTTCCAGAGTTGGCTGTCAAGGGGCAGGAAGGGTGGCATAAATTATTTTTAAAGGGGCTAAGAGGGGTTAAAGGGGGATCCTTTAGTGTGATTTTGTTCTTTTCTTTTTTATCTCCAATTCGGTGAGGAATTCTAATGTGACCCTCAGCCAAAAGTTGTTTGTATTGCAATTGTCCACAACATTTTCTAGAATTTTTTGACTTCCGCTTTTTTTTTTTTTTTTTTTTTTTTTGCGCTGGGGCTGCCCGGAACCCTGCCCGGGGGTCATGCCCGGCCGGGCACCCGGGCGGGTATCCGGGCACAAGTTGGGTGCCCGGGCGCCCGGAAAAACAACCTAGGTGCTGGCGGAATCTTCAGCCCTGTCTCCCATTCGATGCATAAAAGTTTCAATTGAATCGACACAAACGGATTCCGCAGCATCATGTTCATCACTGACAGGAGCTGGCGGTACAGAAACCTGTAAAGGCGTTCACATACCCATATACAAAGGAGCACAAGCTTCATGAGAGCAAAACGCTTAAAAAAGTTTCCAAAGACATCATCAACAATTCCTAACACATTTCAACGCTACACTTCTGCCAGGTACAGAGCTTTCAATGTACTTTCAGAGTCACCCATGCAGGCACACACACACACACACACACACACACACACACACACACACACACACACACACACACACACACAGAGAGAGAGAGAGAGAGAG